TGTGTATTTTATGTAAAATACAATGTTTTGGAATAGTATAAAAATTACAGCAATAAATGAAAAAAAACCAGCAAGAATGAAGTTCAGCCTCTATTATTGTTGTTATATTGTACAGTCAATAGGCAGAACACCATCTACTGCACAAAAGTGAAAGCCATTTCTGTATCAAAGGGTTTATAGTACAAATCCCTTATCATGCAAAGACTAAATTTTAAGTATGTGAGAAGTCCTATTCAAATCAACATAGCTTTTGCAGGACTAGGGTCCAACTGAAAGAGATGACAAAACATTCTGGATAACCCAAAATCTTAATGGAGGTGTTTTATTTTCTGCTAATTGTAGATCATAAAACCATAGAAAATTAGGGTTGGAAGGGAACTCAGGAGGTCATCTAGTCCACCCCCCTGCTCAAAGTAGGACCATCCTCAAATAGATCATCCCAGCCAAGGTTTTGTCTACTTGGGTCTTAAAAACCTCCAAGGATGGATATTCCACAACCTCTCTGGGTAACCTGCTCCAGTACTTTTCTACCCTCTTAGTGAGAAAGTTCTTCCTAATATCCAACCTAAACTTCCCTTGCTACAACTTAAGGCCATTGTTCCTTGTTCTGTCATCTGCCAAGACTGAGAACAGTCTATCTCCATCCTCTTTGGAACTCCCCTTCAGGTAATTGAAGGCTGCTATTAAATCCCTCCTCAGTCTTTTCTTCTCCAGACTAAATAAGCCTGGCTCCATCAGCTTCTCCTCATAAGTCGTGTTCCCCAGCTCCCTAACCATTTTTGTTGTACGCTGCAGGGCTCTCTCCAATTTGTCCTCATCTTTTCTGTAGAGGGGAAAGGGCCCTAAACTGGACACAGTACTCCAGATGTGGCCTCACCAGTGCTGAATAGAGCAGAATAATCACTTCCCTTGATCTGCTGGCAATACTCCTACCAATGCAGCCCAGGATGCCATTAGCCTTCTTTGCAGCATGGGCACACTGTTGGCTCACATTCAGCTTATTGTCAACTGTAACCCCCAGGTCCTCTTCTGGAGAGCTGCTGTTTATCCAGTCAGTTCCCAGCCTGTTGTGGTGCAAGAGGTTCTTTTGTGCTAAGTGCAGGACCTTATTGAACCTCATGAGATTTTAGATGAAGGCAATTATTGCTTTTTTAGAGAAACTTAAGTAAGAAATAGGTAGTGATACAGAGAACTGGGATGGAGGAGCTAATTCCATGCAGAAAGGGCAGGGGTAGCACAGCGATAGGAGTCACAGCAGGGGGATGCAAGGAGGCTTTGGAACTGGTATCGTTCAAGAAAATAATTGTTACAAGTCAAGGGCTTCAATGTTGACAGTGATGGAGCTGTGAAAGGCTTTTGAAGGCAAAGATTTAAAATTAAATCCCTGTTCAGTCCTCATCTCCTCTAAGACTGCCAAGTGGAGCATCTGTCAACCTTCACTTTGATAGCATTTTTTTTTGTGATACAAGTAAATGGCATGATTCTTGTATTTCTGCTCATGTAAGTGCTATCTACCTCCTGTGCTTAATTTCATTATCTGGAGCTACCATTACTTTTAACTTATGTTGGTTATGCCAAGTGCACATTCTTTCAAAAAAAGAAAACAACAAAAAACAAGCATTATTGCTCAGGAAAAAGAATATGAAAATTCCACATAGTCTGTCCCCTGCTCCTCACTCAAGCAGTATGAAAAATTGTGCAAAACCATTTCTTCATTCAAGGAGTTCTAATGAAACAGGCAGAGCAGTTGCTTGACAGCTGTACATTTTCTTATTCATGTTTTAGCTTAAAATTCCCCATGGTATCAACTTTCATTTCAAGATGCACTGAGAATGAAAGACAGCCACTGTGCCAACTGCTGAAAAGTAAAACATCCTGAACAGGCATGAACAGAAAACATGGAACCTTCTATTGAACCGCTCTCAAAATAAAAGCAGTTCCTGTCCTTTCTATTTGTTATGCATCAGACTGGAACAATAACTCTAAGAATGATGCTCTGAGTATGCATTAATGTTTCACATACAAACATCCCTGATTATGGGGTCACTTCAGCCGCTGACAAAGTTTGCTATCTACCTAGCCATTATTTTAGCCACGTATTTTCCAAAGCTCTTTACAGCCCTAACCAAGATCATTATATTGGGAACTTCACAAAAGACAGTTTCAGTCCCCAAAAAACTTACATTTCAAATATACAAGACAGACAAAGAAAGCATTTGTATCATCCCCTTGGCTGCTTAGGGTGCTGGCAGGCAGGTTCGCTCTCTGCACCCTAAGCCACCCTTCCCAATTTAAACACAGTCTTTAAACTGCAAACAAATAGGCAGAGAAGCAAACAGAACCAAGCCCTGATGCCTGCTCAAGGGCATTTGGAGGGGAACTCCTGGCTCTGGCCCACAGCACAGCAGCCTGGTCCCACCTCCCTGTAGCAAGCACTCTATTGACAGCTGACTCCTTCCCTCCAAACTGTCCCCTCACCATTTGTTTCTCCACTTCTCTCTGCATTTTTGAGTTCCCAGTGAGTCACTCCCCTACCAGTAGCTCCCCCAAGACTGAAGCTACTCAACAGAGCTGGCTACCCTCTCTGAAGGTGACAGATCACCTTATTACACCCCCACCCTTTTGATAGAGAATTGAAGCATGGGAAGATAAAGGGCTAGAGCCAGGTTACTTCCACAGGTGCCTATACTGAGGTGTAGCAATACTTAAAATATAGGTGCCTTGCTTCAAAGAAGTGATCCAGTTTGATCAGGGTTAAGCACTAGGACATCTCTATAGTCAATGGAGAGACTTAGGTACTCTTGGAGAGTGATTGAGAAAGGCTGGAGGCAAAGAATAGAAACAAGGAAACCCAGGAGTGCAGCCCTCTCAGGAACTCAAGTACCTAAACCAGGCTTTGCTCTTCCTTTAAAATGTTTTTTCCTGTTTCTGAGTGCAGCCACTTCTTTGTAGGTAAGTGGGTAATAGTGCCCACTTTCGTATAACATCCTCATGATTAAAGCACTTGGCTAGGAGTGGAGGCTTGTGTTCAGGCCCTCCACAGCCTGAGGGAATGAAATCAGAGCCGCGCAGCAAGAGGGAATGTGCCTCTATAACCTACTGGGTAGGGAACTATCATGAAATGGTTGAGACCTGGGCTCTGCTACTCTTGCTTGTTCTCCTGCTGGACCCATGACTTACTTTCTTACTGGCTGCCAACTAGAAATGAAGCCATTGATTACTACCCTCCGAGCCTGATGCTCCAGCCAGTTTTCTATCCACCTTACAGTCATTCATCTAAACCTTACTTCCTTAGCTTGATGGTGATAATATTGTGGGAGATTCTATCAAAAGCTTTGCTAAAGTCAAGCTATATCACATCCATTGCCCTCTCTGCATCCACAGAGCCAGTCACCTCATCATGGAAGGCAATCAGGTTGGTCAGACATGACTTGCCCCTGGTGAATCCATGCTGACTGCTCCTAATCACCTTCTTCTCTTCCAAGTGCTTAGAAATGGATTCCTTGAGGATCTGCTCCATAAGTTTTCCAGGGACTGAGGTGAGGCTGAATGGTCTGTAGTTCCCTGAATCCTCTTTCTCCCTCAGACTGGCTTCCCAGGGGATCCTGCCCATCAGTTCCCTGAGTCCTGGGTCCTTACCAGGGTTTGAATTATGAGGCAGCTCAGGGGGACTGAGTCCCCACCATAAGAGACAACAGGCCACCTGTAAGAGTTGAAAATCATAACCTGGGGGGTCTCCAATTTTATTAGGGCATTGTGATGGGCAGCCCAATTTTTTTTTTAGAGACTCCCCCAAGAGTCAAAGTGTATTTCAAACCCTGGTCCTTACTCTGTTGCTCTCCTTCCTTACTTCCTTTTCTCAGGATCCTGAACTCAATCATGTCATGGTCACTGCTGCCCAAGTTGTCATCTACTTCTACATTCCCCACCAATTTTTTCTTGTCTGTGAGCAGCAGATCAAGAAGCACATGGCCCCTGTGTGATAAGGATGAATTATAAGGTATCTTAAAAGCATATTGTATAGCATATATGCATCTATTCTGCATTAGGTTAAACAATACAAAATATTGCTCTCCCCAAGTCCCATTAGCACTGCTCACAAGTGGATATTTGGAACAGACTCTGTCTTCAGATTACAATAGAGGTATACATGTGCATAACAAAAGGGAATGGATGTCATTTTTCATAAATTGGTGGGAATTTCAAAATATGATTTTTGTATTTGGTCTCTGGATTTGGCCTATGCATTTAGCACTAACAATGGCTTAGGTTTTTGTATTTTTGTAAAAGAAAACACTCTTTCATACAATATCCAATCAGCCTTATTTTCTTTGTTAAAATATATTTCTAGACTACTGCTCATTCTGTATCTATCTTCAATACTTTGTTTATTAGATGAGAGTATGGCAGAAAAAAAACTCAGTAAATATGATGAAAATTCTACTGACAGAAAATAGATCTAAAGTCAGATTGAAATAGCAGTCTTTGAGTTTAACTCCTCTAAACAGTTTTCTTTTTTTCCTTGGAGGAAGGAACAATTTATGATGGTAATTGCTTTTGGATAGGTTTTGGATAGTTCCTGGTCACTAATTGCTTTTGTGCCATCACTGAAAAGCAAATTTAATTGTAATAAGTAATGCAGACAGCATCTAGCAATGTAGCTCTTTATTTTAAGGTGAACCACATGGCAGAACTGTGGTGGATTTATTTAGCAGAATCTCTTCTCTTCTTTTGGAACTGGTTTCATTACAATTCCACCTACTTCAAGTCTCCTATATACTCTAAAAGTAGCATACAGAATCAACCCCATAGTGCATGCAGCATCTGTATATTAAAGAAACTCTAACTCCAACCAGCATCCATACGTTCTTAAAAACAGCAATTTTCACTGACATAAATAAAACATTCATGTGCAGATCATTTTCTTTCACACAGCAACTGTCTCTCTTTTGTGAATCTGACCATACAGACAACATGCACTAACTGGCATAACTTCATACCTGTGGTGTAAATTGGAATCCACTGGTAGAATTCATTCTTGTAGGGAACTGTGTCAAACTCACTGCATTGCATCTGACGAAAGGTTGGCATGCCTCCCTGACAAGGGCTAATGTTACACATGCGATATCGTTTCCTTTCTCCCGTACAGTACTTTCCTCCAAACTGTGGCCTAGAAGTGAAATATGAAGTTTTGGAGTGTTAGGGTCTGTTTGAAAGTGAGATTTATTTTAACTTTGTGTTTCCTTGTCACATCAACTGGACAGTAACATCTTTTAGATTCTGACAGGGTAAGCAGATAAATCCAAGTAGCTGTGGGGCTCAGTACATTCACAACAAAGTAATGAACTTCGTAGTCAGGAGGAATGAAATGCACTCAGCACTTCACAAGTACTCAGCTCTCATAGCGTTGAGCTCGTGAACTCATATGTATTGTTCGCTGTTTAACCAGAAGAATTAAGTGTCTCAGCCTAAATCTTACTGACTTTGAATCAGAGTTCAAACTGGACAGATGAAATACTTCATGGGGTGAGAAACTGCTTTGTAGCTGTAACCAGTGTAACTGTTTCATTTCTCTGCTTCATTCTGCAATATCTGAAGCCAAACTGCAGTAATTTACCTCCTGTTCCACTCAGGGGTAAATTACTGTAATTTAGATTGACTTACTGTGGGTTCGGAGTAGACAGATGAAATAGTTACATCAGATAAGCTGATGTAAACTCACAAGCACTAAATCCATCCTTTCATTAAATAGTGTAATTGTACCTTTGTCCTGAAGATCCTAAGTTCTATTTAAAAATGGTCTCAGGCATCTCTGAAAAATCTCCCTTCCTCCTATTTATCTAGATGCAATAGACCCAGAGCCAGAGTTTCTGAAGTTCCAAAAGAAACCGATGTAGGTTCAGATGTGAGTTGTGGCTACTGAATACCCCTGAGGAATAGGTGAATATTCTCTACCTCCTTATAATTATTGAAAACATTTTTATTATTTGAAGTAGTATCGTTAAATCATGTTTCTGATATATGCAGTAATCCTGGAGGTGAAGTATAACATTTTCTCTCTTTGCTGGAATTAAGTTCCATGGAAGATAAGAAAGACTGAAAACCAGGATAAAGATTGAAAAAGACTGGGCTGGTAAATTTGAGAGAAAATTGGTTTTATGAGGAAGAATATGGCTGACTGATTAACCTGCTGTAGTAGTTGCTGATTATGTGGTGAGATATAAACGTGCCTCCACTTCTATAAATACCCCTGCAATAGCTCTAAGACCTTGCACAACACACAAAAAACACTGAACAAAATGGCAACAATTTGTGTGTCAGACTTACTCTGGGTTACTGCATTGTCTCTCTGAACTCTGAACTCCTGCTCCACATGTCCTTGTACAATGGGACCAGGAGGACCAAGTGCCCCATCCGCCATTAATCGCTTCTGGATTCTTGCCCACTGTAATACACTCACGGGTGAAGCACCACTGAAGAAACAGCGAAGACAGAAGGTCAGAAAATTATCAGTGGAAAATACTACAGTGGGTTGAATGCTTGAAGAGAAAACTAATTAGTTGTGTATGCTAAGAAGCACTAAATAGTATTACCACTGGCAGGCCATCTCTAAGGCTATCTCATCCTATTGTGAACAATTTGTTATGTGATAATTCCTAAGGAGAATTCTACTCCAAATGATTGGTTATAATTACATACATACATACATACATACATATAGTTTCAATGTATATGTTTATATATGCTATACATATGTAATAAATATATATGTAATATATATATATTTTAAAAAGTAGTCTGATCACCTCTGAACCTTAGTTTTGCTAATACAAACAAGACAAGTTCTTTTAATTTCTCTTCGTAAGATTGTTTCTCTGCTCCTCTAACCATCCAGTGGCCCTTCTTTTTTGAAATCTGGTGACCAGGGCTGTATACAATATTCTAAATGGGGTCTTACCATTGACCTGAACAGGGGTATGACTGCTTTCTTGTTTCTACGGAATATACTCTGCCCTGGAATTGCAGTAGCTTTTTTCAAAGCCACATCATAATAGTTGCTTATGGTCATCCTTTGATCAACAGTACACTGACATCCATCTTTTCCCTTGTTGTTTCCAGTACAAGAACTACTATTTTACAGCAAACTATTGTTGTTAGTCCCAAAGTGCGTGACTTTGCACTCCATGCTATATTAATAAACAGTAACAGAAGTTATGCATGGGTTATAGAAAGTTCTAGAAAAATGGGCCTGGTGTATCTTTTAAATACTGCGTTTCCAATTCTCAGCTGATGTAAATAAGCATAATTCCACTGATTTCAGAAAAGCTAAATTGCTTTTATGCCAGCTGAGGGTCTAATCTGATGTATCAAAATACACAGACACAATTAGGGGACTCACTGTGGCACCTTAATGTATTTTTATGGACAAACATTACTGTGCGTCCCCATGCTGAAAAAATGGCAGCAGGGCACTTTGAACTCAAGCACTCATGGGACTCTTCAGCCTGGAGAAAAGAAGGCTCAGGGGGACTTGGTGGCAGCCTATAACTGTACGAGGGGGGTGCACCAGGATCTGGGAGAACAGTTGTTCACCAGGGCTCCCCAAGGGATAACAAGATCTAATAGCCACAACCTTCTGGAAGGCCGGTTTAGACTAGACATAAGGAAAAACTTCTTTATGGTCCGCGTGTACAGGTGTGGAACACATTCCCCCCAGAGGTGGTGCAAGCACCTAGTCTGGACTCATTCAAATGGTGTTTGGATGCTTCTCTTGCATGGGTCATTTGACCCTAGCAGACTTTCTGCCTAGGGCAGGGGGGCTGGACTCAATGATCTCGCAAGGTCCCTTCCAGCCCCTAATGTCTATGAATCTATGAATCTAAAGTGTGTTTTATTTCAAAGCATACTGCCACCCCCTTTTCAGCATGGAGACGCACTGTGACGCTAATGCACATGTCATGGAAGGCTGCCGGAGCACATCAATTTCTGTGCTCCAGCAGACTCAATTAAGTGTCTGGACACTTACACACATTCTATGTGCTTTAGTTCAAAGCATACCACCGCCATTTTCTCAGCACTGATGTGTGTTGTGCCACTTATACACCTGCATCTGATGCAGCACGGGGCGCTTTTAATTAACGCATATCACTAATAAAAGAAAGCCCGGTGCTGAGTCAGGAGCACATGTCAAAATGCCGAATGTGTTTCTAGGATAACTTACTCTATGGGCGTATCTACATGAGACACATTAATATGCATTAAACTATGTTAATACGCACTACAGGTGTGTATTAGGGTTGTGCGAAACAGCACCATTCTGCTTCGACTTCCGTTTCGACGGAACAGTGTTTCAAGTTTTGTTTAATTTCGAAAGCACTGTTCCGTTTTGTTTTGATGCTGTTTCAACATTTCACCTATAGGCTCTTCTGCACCCAGCGCTGGGAAGATCCTGGCCCCAGCCAGCAGCACCAGCCTTCTGTCATCTGGCAGGCAGTTTGGGGGCCTGAACCCCTGGGAGCAGTCTGGCACAGCCCCCGCAGCCCTCCTGGGAGTGCAGGCAAGCCCCCAATCTGCCTGCTGGCTGGGGCCAGTGGCAGCACTGATCTTCCTGGCATGGGCTGCGCCCAGCAGGATTGGAGCAGGAACAGGTCCCCACATAAGCTGATTTGCCCTGGGCACTGCACCCTGCACCCTCCTTGGGTCGACTCTGGCAGCAGTTCACACCCAGTGCTGGGTGCCAATCTTCCCGGTGCTGGGTGCGGGCTGCTGCCAGAGCTGACCCGAGGAGGGTGCGGAGCCTGGGGCAAATCAGCTTATGCGGAGACCCAGCCCCCACTCAATCCCATGCGCCCTGGATGCAATGAAGCTGCCGCTGCCACCACTCGCTCCCCCCACACCTACCAGCTGGTGCCACTGCTGATGGCGACAGCGGCTTCTTCACATCCAGGGTGTGTGGGATCAAGGCGGGGGTGAGTCCCTGCATGAACTGATTTTCCTTGAGCCCTGCACCCTCATCCGCCTCAGGTCTGCTCTGGCAGCAGCCCGCACCCAGCACCAGCAAGATTGGCACCCGGCACTGGGTGTGGGTTGCTGCCAAAGCCAACCCAAGGAGGGTGTGGGGTGCGGGGCCCGGGGCAAATCAGCTCATGTGGAGACCCACCCCTGCCCTGATCCCATGCAACCTGGATGCAAAGAAGCTGCCGCCACTGGCAGCGCTGGTTGGGGGGGGGAGAGTAGTGAGTGGCTGGACACGAAGCCAGTGGTGGCAGTGCAGAGTCACCACAGCCACTCTGCCCAGCTCTGCAGGGCCCCCCAAAGTGCAGGGCCCAGGGTGGTCATCCTGATTCAGGGCCCCCTAGGGACAGCCCTGGCTGCCACTGCCCCAGGCAGCAGAACCAGCCTCCTGTGAGCCAGCAAGCAGATTAGGGGCTCACCTGCACCCCCGGGAGAGCTGCAGGGGCTGTGCCAGACTGCTCCTGGGGGTGCAGGTGAGCCCCTGATCTTCCTGCTGGATGACAGGAGGCTGGTGCTGCTGGCTGGGACTGGCACTGAAGCCAAGTAAGCCTGGCTTCAAAACTCGAAAAATTTTGAATCTTTCAAAATGTTTCAAGTGCCCTTGAACCTGTTTCAAAGGCTTTTGCTTCATTTAGATTTCACTGTTTCGAGCTTGAAACGCATTGAAACATCTTCAAAATGAAACATTGGGCAAAATTTTGCACAGCTGTAGTGTGCATCTACACGTGCATGCCCTTAACGCACATTAATGTAGGCTAATCATGCCTACATTTGATACCTACAAATGCACGTATAAAGTTTAGGCCTGATTATTTAATACACACTAACGTATGTTGTAGACACGACCAGGAACTAACTTTAGTGCAGGATCTGCCCTGCCACTAGGGTGCCAGCCTGAGCCTCGCCCCAGGAAATATCCAGCCCCTGACCTGGGGCTCTGCTCCCTAGCATCCCGTCCCCCACCCACAACCCCACACTCTGCTCATGAAGATTCATTATATTGTAAATATTGTATATAGTTTTCCCCTTGTGTATAGTTTTTCCCTTGTATATAGTTTTCCACTTATTAGTGGGTTTTTTATTATCAGTGGGTGGGGAGGGTGGTGGAGGGGCTCTGTTGGTTGAGGGGGGAGGAAGGAAGGAGTTCTGTTTGTTGAGGGGGAACGAATGGGGATGGGCACTGTGAGAGTAATAAAGTATTTTTTGTTTCACCCATGTGCATGTGCTGAGACTGGTGCTGCGGGTTGACAGGGAATGGGGGGGGGGGCTGTGGGGCAGGCAGGCTGGAGTGGGGAGTGTAGGAGGAGGGAGTCAGCCAGGTCCTCCCACAACCAGTGCCCTGGGCCATGCTGGTGGGTGCATGGCTGTCCTGGGGCCTGGATGGGGGGGAGCCTCCTGGGGCCAGCAGGGCCACCACCATGGCCAGCAGCAGTATGAGCCACTGGTCAGCACTGGCAGGGGCTGGGCTGGAGCAGCAGGGCACTGGGCATCGCTGGCAGGGACAGGGGCAGGGGCAGGAGTAGGGGCAGAGGCTGGAGCAGCCCTGGCACAGGTGGGCAAGGTAAGCAAGGAAGGCACTGCTGCATGCTGCTCCTGAGCTGGGCATGCGGCTTCTGGGCAGAGAAGGGGCTAGCCAGGGATCAGAGTTTACCAGATGGCTGCTAGTTGCTGGCAGCTGGCTCTGGCTTCAACATGGCTGCAAAGAGCTAGAAGCCATGTGGCCAGAGATTGGAGCTCCCCACAGTGGCCACAGGGGCACATGGCAGGGCTGCAGAGACTTGGGACTAACTTTAGTGCCAAGTCCAGGGATTTGGGACTAACTTTAGCCCCAAGTCCTGAAAGTATAGACACCTGCCAAAAATCGCTTAATGTGCATTAGCTTAATGCCTATTAAATTCACTTGCACTTAAATGTACATGTAGATGTGCCCTATGTCACACAAAGTTAGGCTTTAGGCCCCTTGAAGAGGCAGTAGTAAGATTTCATAGACATTAGGGCTGGAAGGGACTTTGTGAGATCATCGGGTCCAGCCCTCTGCCCAAAGAGCAGGAAAGTCAGCTGGGGCAGATGACCCCAGCAAGGTGCACATCCAGGCATTTCTTAAACATATGCAAAGTAGGTGCTTGCACCACTTATGGGGGGAGTTTATTTCAAACTCTGGAGACTCGGACGGTAAAGAAGTTTTTCCTTATGTCCAGTCTAAAATGGTTTTCCAACAGTTTGTGACTGTTAGACCTTGTCTTCCCTTGGGGTGTCCTGGTAAACAGATGTTCTCCCAGTTCCTGATGCACACTACTTATATACTTATAGGCTGCCACCAGGTCCCCACAGAGCCTTTTCTTCTCCAGACTGGAGAGTCTCATGCCTCTCAGCCTCTCCTCATGAGGCTGCATACATGAACCCCCCTGCACTGATCTCCTTGACAGCTGGCAGGTGTCATGGCCACAGCAGGGGCCACCATCCCTGCAGCTGTCACCCCGCTGTGCCTTAACACATGCAGTGTCACCCATGGCACAAGTTTTGCTTGTCCACAGCTTGAGGGGCAGATCATCCCAAGCCCCTGCACAGATCTTCTTGAAACTTGGCAGGCTTTGTGGCCTCAGCAAGAGCTACCAGCCCTGTAGTTTTCACCCCCCTATGTTGTAATACCTAGACGTGACATTAGTTTTGCTTTCAAGAATTTGGGGTGCAGGTTTGCTTTCAAGAATTTGGGGTGCAGGTCTCCCCAAACCGCTGCACTGATGTTCTTGAAGCTTGGAAGGCTTCATGCTCTCTGCAGAGTCTACCACCTCTGAAAATTTTCATCCAAATCGGACAAAAAACAACAAAGTTCTAGATAGCTTATTGTTTCCCCATTATACCCTATGGCTGGATCTCCAAGGCGGCTCTGAAGCTCTTTGGAAGCTCCAAAGCACTTTGGGAAGCCTAACGAAGCAGCGCTTTGACCCGGGTGTGCCCTAGTAATAGATACACTGGAGAACATGGTTAGGATTCAGAGAGACCTCAACAAGTTTGAGGACTGGACCAAAAGAAATGTCGTAAGATTCAATAAGGATAAGTTCCAAATCCTGCCCTTAGGACAGAACTAACCCATGCACAGTACAGGCTGGGGCCAGACTGGCTCTTCAGAAAAGGACCTAGGAGTTACAGCAGACAATAAGTTGAACACGAGCCAACAGTGTGCCCTTGTTGCGAAGAAGGCTAACAGCATACTGGGCTGCATTAGTAGGAGAGTTGCTAGAAGATCAAGGGAAGTAATTATTCCTTTCTGCTCAGCACTGGTGAGGCCATATTTGGAGAACTGTGTTCAGTTTTGGGCCCCCACTACAGAAATTATGTAGACAAATTGAAGAGAGTCCAGCAATGGGCAATAAACATAGCTAGGGAGCTGGGACACATGACTTCTGAGGAAAGGCTGAGGGAACTGGGCTGATTTAGTCTGGAGAAAAGAAAACTGAGGGGGGAATTAATAGCAGCCTTCAACTACCTGAAAAGCGGTTATAACAAAGATAGAGCTATACTATTCTCAGTGGTGGCAGTTGGCAGAACAAGGAACAATGACCATTTGTAGCAAGTTGCAGGAAGGAAAGCTTAGGTTAGATGTTAAGAAACACTTTCTCTCTAGGAGGGTAGCATAGGTGATATGTAGGAGGGGGACGGGGGGGCATGTGCCCCCCCGAGATTGGCTGCCACCGAAGCCACTGCCTGTCACCGCTGCCCCCCCCGCCACTGACGCAACTGCTGGTGGCTGCAGGCAGTCCCTGCTTGCCACACACGACAGTTCAAATGGCAGCTGGAGGTGGTTCCTGCTCACTGCCCGTCCCCTCCTCACCACTGACACCTCTATGGCCGCCTGAGGATGGTCCCTGCTTACCTCTGCCACACCCCCATCACCAACACCACTGTCTGCGGGTGGTCACCATCCCCCCCCAGCCTCTGAAGGCACGTGTCATTCATGGAGGGTAGGAAAGCACTAGAACAGGTTACCCAGAGAAGTTGTGGAGTCTTCATCCTTGGAGGTTTTTAAGACCTGGCTAGACAGAGCCTTGCCTGAAATGATCTAGTTGGGGATGGTCCTGCTTTGAGGAGGGGGTTGGACTAAATGAGCTCCTGAGGTCCTTTCCAACCCTAATTTTCTATGATTTTATGATTATAGCTTCCACTATTATATAGCCTCCTGTGAAATTAAATGGACTACAAATGAAATCCCAGGGGGAATTTTGACTGGCAAAAAGCAATTGCCTCCACTGGAAGCTGGAGAGATCCAATTAATTTTAACTACCACAAATGGCCAGGATTTCAGTCTTGTCTCATCCACTATTTTTTATGGTGGTATTTACTGCACACTCTTCAACATACTGACTAGTGCTTTTCAGTGGTGTGTTAGCTGATGTAACTAATGTCTGTCATTTGTTTGTTCACTCATCTTCTCCCAGAAACTGTGCACAGAGGAATGTCGTGTTTTGGTAGGGCTCATGTTGGTTTTTAATCGGATCTTACTATACAAATTATATGCATGTCAAATTCATATAATATATTCATATATAATATAATGTTATGTTATGTGATACAATGTAATACAATCCAATATACACACAAACAGAGCAAATGCCAAAGAAATGTACATTGCAGAAGGTGCTGGCATTTGTTATAACCCTAAATGAAATACACACTAAATTATTTCAGGTTAGCCTCTACTTATTGCAGGCTGGAATGGATAGACAAAAAAAGTGTTAAGTCAGCTGAACCACAGTAAATTCTCCCTCTACTTCTTTTTACAGTTTATAACTGTTCAGTCTGTCCACTCCTACAGCCTCCCACCAGAGAAACATTTCAATGCGTTTTCTGGTCATTTACCAAATTAGTGGTATGGGTTGAATGAGAGACAGCAGCCACTAACACTGAGAAAATTATCAGGTGAGAGATTTCTTGTTCTGTTGCATAGCTTCCATGCTTAATCACCTTTAATGAAAAGGAGTGAGCAGCGAATCACAGAAGTAGAGGATAAAAATGATAAGGAGAATTTTAATTATTAGGATAGCATAATATAAAGCAGGAATGGATGTTTCCCTCCATGTAACACAAAGAAGGTGTGGAAACCAATCCTGCAGTACTTTCCTAGTAAAGAGTGCCTCTGCAGAGGAAAGGACACATGCTTTACAATTTTCCCCCAGGTGAGGCTCAGACACATTTTCCCCAGTGCCCCTAGGGACTTCAGCGTATAGTCTCCCAGACACTTAGCTTGCCAGCTGGTGAAAGATTTTAATATTTTGCCTATAGCAACTTTGAAGCCCTAAGGCCTTGCTATTTTGAACAAAATATGACTACTGGGTTACAACTTCATATTCTCAAGATCTTTCTTTTAGAGTGTTAGGAATGTGCATTTATACCTGAGCCGGCCAAAGGAACATGAAAGGTTGCAATGAAAAAATGAAAGAACAATTTTCTAGAAACTGGGGGAAAAGGAACTTATTTTGAATAGAAAAGTTTCTAGAACACTCAGCATAAGCAACGTATCAGAGGGGAATTGGGGAGGGGGAGGGCATATGCCCTCCTGGCTGGACCCAACACCTGGCAGCAGCAGGGGTGGGGGCAGGGGCAGTGGCATGGAATTGTGCCTCCCCACTGATAGCACTTCCATGTCACCTATGCCACTAAGCATAATCTTTTATGAAGACAACAACAGTGTGATTCTTATTTACATTATGGAAGCATTTCAAAGCCTGTCTTTCAAAGATAGCAATTAGCCACAGGCTTGTTCTAATTAATTTTGGCATCTGAGATATTCAAATGGAGAGTCCAGTGTTTCTCTAAAAGATATGAAACTATGCTGGGAACACCTAACACATAAGGGACACTTCTTTTTAACAGGATAAGTCTGCCATCAGGGAGAAGGAGCCAAGACCATCATGCTTGAGCAGGGGTTTGGACTAGATGACCTCCTGAGATACCTTCCAGCCCCACTATTCTATGATCTGCTTTTCTATGATCTTTACAGCTGTTGTGCTGTCCTCATTCACATATTCTAGAAAGAATTGCAACTGAGGAAATTAACACAATGACCCGAGCTATAAAAAATATGGTACAGTAATACACACAGCTGTCAGTTATTTTCTCCCTATCACTGCAGGAGTGTAACCAGCAGTGCATTTCTTAGTTAGCATGTAACTATGTGAGAAAAGATTCTACCATATACTCTTAGAAATTATTCTTCAGCTAAACAGATCACCAGAAATTTTCCCTTGATTTTTAGCTTGAAATCTTCTCATCCTTCATTTTATTCCATTCCTCCTACTTGTACTACACTTTGATTCTGGGACTTCTAATTTTTAATTCATTAATGGATTTTCCTCTTGAACACTTCCTGTCACTGAGGCCCCTGGTTGCATGGTTAAGACACCATAACATGCCATGTTTCACATTAAATATGGAACACCTTCATGGCTGGTTTGTGTCATGCTTAATTTTGAATGTGTTCCCATGTATGCAGGCATTTAAGAGCAGCATGCACAGCCCAGCTGCATGACCACTCTTTGAACACGCTGGCCTACAGGGAAGTCATGTTCAAAGGGCAGCAGTGCTGCTGAGCTGCACCAAGCCTTGTAAAAATTTCAGGCTGGAAAGGTCAAGATTGTGGAGTTTCTCCCTGATCTCGGGTTCCACCCTCGGATCTTTAAAAAGAAGCTAGGCAGGAAAAAGCTAGGCAGGCTTTAAAGCTTTCTCAAAAGAGGTCCGGAAACCATTTCTAGTCTCTCTTTATAAGATGAAAAGCAATTATAAGCCCAGAAGAGTCTGCCTAGCATGGAATCAGAGGGAATCCAAATCCAAATGCACAAGTATTTGGATTCCAGCAATTAGACAAATCCAGACAAGACTGGATAGCCTGGCTCTTTTAGCAAGCACCAGCTGGGCATAATATGGAGAAGTATTGAGGTCATATCTTGCAATTGCTCTGAACTAGGAAGCTGACTACCTGCTGATTTTCAGTTGGCATTGATTGAAAAGAAATGTATTTGTTAGCCCTCTCAGTTGGAGGACAAGAAGACAAACAATGATAACTTAATGAGAGCTGGTAGAGAAAGGTCAGGGATTAAGCTTAATAGCAAAGAAAGATGCAAATATGAGTAAACTCCATGGAAGTTTGCTAAAGTTCAACAGAACAAAAATAATACACACCTTACAGGATGCCGTTTAGTTTAATTTGGAAAGTGGACAAAGCCTGTCAAGTAGCAATTCATACTTTCCCAAATGCCTTTTCAGACAATTGAAGCCCATAATCACCTTGTTTTCTCCACATCTGGTTCCATCTGCAGCAGCATCTAGTTTTGATCGGCAAGAACCTTTCACAGAGCACCAGAGTGTCTGGCAGATATTCTGTAAAAGAAAGGAAAAAAAAGCTACAACAGTCTTCTGAGTAGAAACTCCAAGATTTTCAAGCACTGTTTATGTTTTGGGGGAATCTCAGTTTGCCTTAAAAGGGTTTGCTTTCATTTCAGAGACTTCATAGACATTTGGGCTGGAAGGGACCCTGGAGAATCATCGAGTCCAGCCCATTGCCCTAGGGGCAGGAAGTAAGCAGGGATCATAGGATCCCAGCAAGATAAACATCCAAATGTGTCTTGAAGGCATTCAAAGTGGGTGCTTGGACCGCCTCTGGCAGCAGTCTATTCCAAACCTCGGGGGCTCAGACAGTGAAGAAGTTCTTTCTTATGTCCAGCCTGAATCGGTCGTGGCAGAGTTTGTGACTGTTCCAGAAGGTCAGGTGCTCAGAACTTTCCAAAACATAGTACCCTGTCAAGGTAGTTCAAATTAAAAATTCCAAAGGGGCCATAAAGCAACTTTAAAGGCTGTAACTTAAATATAATATTATGTACTTCCATTATCATACTTTTTCCTGTTATGTGCAATTTTCTTTCATGCAGTTGGATATTTAGCAATTTACAGCTATTTGTATATAATAAAAGTTATTATTTAAAGCAAAAAAGGGGTTTTGGAGGGCAACATATGATGCAAATCTGGTGTTTAAGCCTTCACATTCCCAAATGTTAAGTTTATCCAGAAACAGGGTTTTGATTCAGCCTTTCATAGATGTTGGGCTAAATTATCAACACTCTTCAGCACTGAGAGCTGGTACTAGAATATCAAGAAAGTTTAGTCGGGTCTTGGCTCCAGTGCAAGATGCACAGGTGAAAGCCTGCTGCACCCCCGTGAGCCCAAGGACAGACCCCAGGACCCACAATGAGCCCCGGCCTGCTCACAGGTAAACAGGGGCCCATGGTGGGAGCAACATAGCCAGCCGGGAGGCGGCCAAGTGGAGCCAAGGAGGATCACACCCCCCCGGCTCCTACTTTGCCCAGCCCGCCCAGGGAGCCATGCTGCCGGAACCTTGTGAACATGCTGCACAAACACATGCACTTCTGGGCCCGGCGCACAAGTTAGCCTAGGAGTTTGTGCAGGAGCGTGAATGGGAGTGCCCGCAACCCTGCCAGTGATTCCCCCTAGGGTAGGCAGTCCCATCAGTAGCCGGCCTACCAGCAGCACGATGCAGATGGGCACACGCTGTAGTTCAAGGGTCCCCTTGGAGTCTGCAGCCTCCCACTCTGGCACCTCAGAGGCCTCCACCCAGACAGAACCCATGGTTCTGGGCTCCACACAGATGAAGCCCCTGGCTCTTGGCTGCGGGGGCTGCCTGGCATGTTTCCAGGCTCATGAGACTGGGAGCATTGCCACCTCCCCTTGCAGGGTTTGCTCCACTTTGGAGTCTCTGGAGAATCAGATTGAGGAGCTCCAGGCCACAGTCCAGAGACTGTGTGCCATCAGGGATGGTGAGCAGGAGATTGACTCCTACTGCCAAGCCCTTAACCCCCTGGAGGCAAAGGGTAGACCAAGGTCACCTCCTAGGACAAGGGAGGACTCGGGGATCTCCCATACTGTCCAGCCAAGGGGTTGGAACAAGGTGTTCAAGGGCCCCAAGGCCCGCCGCACCAATATCCCCTCCCCTCTGGGGCTCTGCAACAGGTATGGACCCCTTGCAGCCCCAGTTGAGCCTGTGGAGATGCCAGCTCCTGCAGGCAAGGGAGGATCACCCACCCCTACTCTCCCGAAGACGAAACGCAGAGTGGTCATCATGGGAGACTCCCTCCTGAGGGGCGACTGAGGTGGCAATCTGCCACCCCGACCCCCTAGCCCAGGAGGTCTGCTACTTCCCAGGGGCCCACATCAAGGCCATAGCAGAGAGGATACCAAAGATTATCCAGGCCTCCGACCACTACCCTATGCTCCTTATCCACATGGGCACAAATGACATGTCACAGAGCAATCCCAGCTGGGTCATGAAAGACTACAGGGTTCTGGGAGGGGAGCTTAGGGGGTTGGGGGTGCAGATGGTCTTTTCCTTGCTCCTCCTGGTTGTGGGCCATGGGCAGAGGAGGGAGAGATGGTTGAGGTAGTCAACCAAAGACTGCGGTGCTGGTGTCATCGTGAAGACTTTGGCTTCCATGATCACAGTCCACTCGTGAGAGAGGAGGTGGTCTGCTGGGGAGAGACGGCCTCCAGCTCACTCCACTGGGGAGGAGGCTCTTCTCAGCCAGACTGGTTGACCTGCATGAACGGGCTTTAAACTAAGCCCGCTGGGGGTTGTGGGGATTACCGCCACTGCTGGCCCACTGGGTAACTCTTGTAAATCCAGCGGGCCAAGGCACTTAAGGGAACCCACCTCTACCCTAGCTCCAGAACGATCAGTAGGGAAGGCAAGGGCCCCCAATTGGACACTTGCCTGCCTGTACACCAGTGCCAGGAGCCTGGGAAATAAACAAGAGGAACTGGTCCTCTTGCTAAACAAAAATAACTACAACCTCATAGGGATAACGGAGACCTGGTGGGACTCCACCTATGATTGGGTGACAGGTATAGATGACTATACCCTGTACAGGCATGATCACGCAGATAAAAGGGGTGGGGGGTAGCCCTCTATGTCAAGGACAGCTACATGTCCCTCCAAATTTACATTGGCACCCAGGAGGGATGACTGGAGTCTCTCTGGGTCAAAATACTTGGGGAACGTGGCTCAGGGGACATCATGGCAGGAGTCTACTACAAATCTCCTAACCAGAAGAAAGAGCTGGACCAGGAATTCACCAGGGAACTGGCTGAGGCTGCATGCTCTTGGTGCATGGTTGTCATAGGAGACTTCAACTACCCGGATATCTCATGAGAAGAGTATGCGGCCAAATCCGATCGGTCGCAAAGCTTCCTCACGTGTGGATGAGCTCTACCTGACTCAAGAAGTCTATGGGCTGACGAGAGGCAAAGCATTGTTGGACCTGATACTGGCCACAGGGGATGACATAGTCAATGACCTAAGAATCACTGGAAAGTTGGGTGATAGTGACCACAAACTGATCACCTTTACTATCCATTGCAAAGCTGGCAAGTCAGTCAGCAAAGCAGAAATCCTCGACTTCAGGAAACTGTCTTTGACAAGCTCAGGAGGCTCGTTGTTGAGGCCCTAAGGGACCACAACTCAACAGGCAGAGTAATTCAAGAGGACTGGTTGCAACTCAAGGGAGTGATCCTGACAGTACAAAGGATGGCCATCCCATATTGGAGGAAGGGTAGCAAAAGGGCACAGCAACCCTCTTGGCTCAGCAGTAACTCAAGGATCTCCTATGCCTCAAAAGAGAGACTTATAAAGGATGAAAGGTTGGAATTACCTCCAAGAAGGATTACTCAGCACTGGTCCATACCTGCAGGGAGCGGATCAGGAAAGCCAAGGCTGCAACCGAGCGCCATCTGGCTTCACATATCAAGGATAACAAAAAGTCCTTTTTCATATATATAGGGAGTCAGAAAAGAAGCAAGGGTAACATTGGGCCCCTGCTGAACCAAATGGGGCAGTTAATAACTGACACCTAGGAAAAGGCCAACCTGCTTAACGGATAATTCGCGTCAGTCTTTCATCAGTCCAGTGGGACCGCCCTGCCTAGCAAGATGTGGGAGAGCCAGGATGAGGGCATATTTATACTCAGCATCAGTGTTGATCTAGTAAAGGATCACCTTGAGATGCTGGACACTTTCAAGTCAGCTGGTCCTGACAGATTACACCCTAGGGTACTCAAGGAGCTGGCAGGTTTCATAGCTCAACCATTGGCAAAAATATTCAAAAATTCATGGTGCTCAGGTGAAGTACCCGAAGACTGGAAGAAGGTCAGTGTGGTACCCATCTTCAAGAAAGGGCGGAAAATAGATCCTGGGAATTATAGGCCAATCAGCTTGACCTCAATCCCTGGTAAGATTCTCGAGAAAATTATCAAGGAGACCCTTCTGGACAAGCTGGCTGAGGGCAACATCCTGAGGGATAGCCAGCACGGGTTTGTCGTGGGTAGGTCTTGCTTGACCAATCTCATCTCCTTCTATGACCAGGTGACATATCACCTGGACAAAGGAGAAGAGATTGATGTCATATACCTGGACTTGAAAAAAGCCTTTGATCTGGTGTCCCATGACCTCCTCATGGAAAAATTGGCCAACTGCAGCCTTGGCTACACCACAGTCCAATGGCTGTGAAATTGGCTCTGAGGTTGGACCCAGAGAGTAGTGGTTGATGGCAGTGAGTCATTATGGCACTCCGTAACCAGTGGCGTCCCCCAAGGCTCTGTCCTTGGACCCACTCTCTTCAACCATTCTCTTCATCTTTATCAATGATGTGGACACTGGTGTCAGAAAAGCACTGGCTAAGTTCGCCGATGACACTAAACTTTGGGGCATA